GTGCGCGTGTCTGTGTGTCTGTGTTACTGATGAAGATCAGTTAAACCAGTGCAGTCTTCCTCATGTGAAACAGTTAGCTTCATCTCAGTTGTACCGCCTCTCTCCACCTCCAGCCTGGTTCTGATGTGCTCTTTCTTACCCACGATGCAGTGTGGCTGACTGTGAGATGTGGGGTTTGGAGGTAACGCCCACCCACGTCTCCAGGTACTGCTGGACCTGCAGGGTCCTGCTCTGTGCTCTGTCCCGTTAGAGTCAGAGAGGTGATGAAGCGCTGGACCGATGGATGCTGATAAAGTGTCTCTGCTGTCGTTGACATGCTCGCCCGCTTCCTTCACCTCACTGACTGTCTGCTCTCACCTGTGGATCAGAACCAGGTCAGGACTTAAAGCTGTGCGGGTCCACGTCTCCTCCTGCAGAAACTAAACAAAGTCAGAGTTTGAGGCTCCTTCAAGCACGTCTCAGGACGCGCTTTCCTGGCGCAGCTTTAAGTCTTACCTGGATCCTTCCCACCTGACTCCTCACAATCAGCTGTTTCTTTTCCTCAGCACTGACGTGAAAAATGTCTCAAAAATCAGTTTTTCCAGTCAGCAAACTGAGCAGCAGGGCCTCGTAATGTTTGTTCTACTGATGATTTATAGATCTAAAAAACGAAAGTTGCACCTTCATTAAAACAAACACCCAATGAAACGTCAGGTTGTCTATGATGCTGCACAGCTGGAGCTGCTCAGTAAACAGACTTTTTAAATGAAACTTCTCATATATGGGAAAGCCTGCGTAAACACGGAGCTTTGATTTTCACAGCCAGGAATCAAACAGAAAGCAGAGTGATGGTGTAGTGTCCAGCCTGTAGAGCGGCTCAGGTGATTAAACACATGTAAAAACCCCGAGCTCCTCGTGTCCACCCTCCACAAACCTGCAGCAGCTTGAACTGGTGCGGCCGGTGTTGTGTTTGTGGCCTGTAGGTGCGGTGACTTTAGATCAGCTGTTCTGAAACATACAAACTGTAATAAAATAAGAGCATCACAGAGATTCTGAGGACGAGTCCACACCTGAGCTGCCCGTGTCTCTTTGATTTACTCACCTTCTCGTCCAGGACTCCGGCGATGGAGCGAGTGGACGGCAGGAACGGAGAGCAGGTCCGACCTCTCAGATACCACCTGAACCCTCAGACGGACATCCCGCTGACCCCGCCCCAAAAAGAGGTAACCAGAGTAACCGCACAGACACGCCGACACTGACTGTTTGCAGCTGGAGAGGTGCAGCACGCCATGGCAAACCGCCTGAGCGAGCATTAAGGGAATTAAGATGTTTGTGTGGAGAGCGAATTTTGTATTTTTGAAATCGGTCTTTTTAATAGTAAAGATTTGAAGCGAACTGTGGAGGTTTTGTTGATTTTCTGTGAGTGAGGTTTTTCTTTATTTTAATCCACGAACACCTCCTACGTTTCCTTTAAAACGCACCCAGTTCTTCTAAACCTCATCCTGCTAAATATTCGACTCTTTCAGAGGCATCGCCCTTAATCTCTTGAAAAGGTTTCTTGTAAGCTCCCAAAATATATTTCCTTATTTCTCTTCTTGTATCGAATGACATCACAGACGGTGTTACTTTGAGCATATATGACTGTGTGCGCTGTGGCGCCGCTTCCTTCGCCCTGCTCCGTTCTGAGTAAACTTCCTGTCTGTAGTGAGTAAAATTAATACTGAGACTCGAGCAGAAGCGGGCGAGGCTTCGCAGAAACATGAAGTGAAACGTTGCCGACAGCTCAGAGGAAGTGGCACGCTCCAGCACCTTTTCCTCTTCTGTCTGACATTAACACACCTGCCCGTTTGGCCTCTGACCTCTGAGTCTGTCAGCTGTCACTCTGCTTCTGCTTCCTGTTTCCTCTCCAATCAGGTTCATGACAGACCTGCTCCTCCCACTAAGCCACTCCCCCCAGACCCTGCTCTAAAACCTCCACCGCAGGTAACCGCTCCCCTCTAGGTGTGTGCGTGTTCAGGTGTCCTGAGTGTGTCTGCGTGTCGTCGTGATGCATGATGTGTGTGAGTCGTGTCGTCTTAGTCGTAGCGAATCATTCGTGCAGATTTATGTGTTCAGTGGAAAAGCAGGAAAAGTTCAGCATTTTAAAAGATCCTCAGATTCTCTGCGTCCCCGAGACCTCAGAAATAAAATCAGCTGAGGTCGTCTAACGTGTCGCTCTGGGCGGGACTCTGTAAGAGACGGCATCAGTGAACACAACGAGCAGCAGCGACAGGAAGCACCGGCTACGTGAGGAGAGTGAGGCGTGCTGGTGCGTGTGGACTCGTCTACTTTTCCTTAAACATGACACTAATTGAGCAGCCGGAGGATGGCGGTCAGCTGCATTTCCAAACAGCAAAGGCTTGAGAAGGCGCTCTTCATGTCCGGTTTCAGGCCCTCACACACCTGCACAGGTAGATGTGTTGGCTCGATGAGGTGTTCAGCTGAAGTGGATCCTGGACAAACCAAACGCGCTGCAATCTGCTGCTGCTTCTCCCTCCTTTCCTGCAGCAGCGAAAGCTTCCCAGCAGAAGTGCAGCCAAACACGGCGTGTTGTTTTCTGAGGAGTCGATCAATAACTCTCCAGGACTGCGAACGACTTCAGTGTTTGTTTGCTAGCACCAAAGTGTTTTGGGTGTGAGCCGCCACAAATGCCACATAATTAGGAGCACGTTATTAATTTTCATAGCTGAAGTACAGAAGCCGACTTCGTCAGCTCAGGTGGATGCTCACCTGCAGAGCAGCCTTAACGAGGAATTTGAGGATTCCCTAAAATGTTGAACTCTTCCTCGCTGACTCAGCTCGGCCTCGTCTCCACCTCCAAACACTGACTCGATGTTCTTCTGACTTTTTATTTCTGCTGCTTCAGTTGGTCAAACAGCGACCGGCCCCCCCAACCAAGCCTCTGCCCCCTGACCCCCCCGCCCCCTCCAACCAGGTACGCTACCTGTAGTGTGTAGTGTTACTGTCCGTCCCGTTTCTCTGCAGTACGTGTGTGTGTGTGTGTGTGTGTGTCGTCTGTTGGAACGTGTTGTCACTGCTGATGTAGCGCTGAAGTTAAAACAGAATCCATGACTCAGCAAAACTGGAGCTCCGCCTTCTTGGTCTGTTAGTACAGTGACCTCACAGCAGCCATGTTATTGGTTGGATGATGTCAATAAAAAGGCGCCAGCAGCACAAACACGGTCCAGAGGTCCAGTTCAGGTGAAGCTAGCAGATACCTGTCAGTCAAAGAGGCCACGCCCCTAAAAGTGCAAACTTTAATCCTTAAATACAAATTAGCAGAATTCACCCCGGACTGACTCACTGCTGCCTCTGCTGGATGTCAGAGGAACTGCAGCTGCTGGTGCTTCATTTTCAGGTCCCGCCGCTCCAGTCGAGTCATAAAACTCTAAAATATTTAAATCGAAAAACACAAATAAGAAATAGAAATACCCCCTCACACCTCCCCTAATGCAGCAGGTGGTCAAGTTAATCTGAAGTTCCAGGAAACTGTTGGTGCCAATCAGCAGGTGAAACATCTGCCTGACAGCCTAGTTTGTCTGACCCATGTCTTTCCTGCCTGCATGCTGCGCTATCAGTCTGATATGAAATAACATCTCATTAGTGAGTCAGACCTCTCGGTTTCACGTCAGTCAACAGAGAATTTCAAAATAAAGCTCAACGACCTCGAGTCCTCGCCACCTGCTGTGCTCTGTTTCCTCCTCACGTTTCCTCGTCTTTGTTGCTGAAGCTTCACTCTTCTTCCTCTCTTCTTCTTCGCTAACCCTCCAGCAGCTGGTGAGTCGACCAGCTCCGCCCAACAAGCCTCTCCCCCCTGACCCCATCACACCTGGACAGGTACGCCCTACCTGCATGCTGCTAGCTGCTAGTACATAGAGAGCATATAGTAGTGCTAGGAGCTGAAATGGTGATGAGATGGATCAATCACTGTGATTACTGAGAGCTGATGGTCAGACTGGCTGTGTGAGGGTGTGATGTGATTGGTTGGCTGGAATCATGCCCAACATTAATGAGGCGTTCAGGAACGCAGGTGAGCGTTGGGCATGCAGGCTCCTGATTGGATAGAATCACCTGTTTTATCATTTCAGACTTGGTAAGTTTCAAAGCTGCAGCTGATTCATTCGTAAAGAGGAAACCGATCAACCGTTTTGATTTAAAAAATCCTCCAAGCTTCTCCGTGATGTCACATTTCCTTTGAGCCAGCCGAGCAGTTACAGGTGACACTCATTTGTTTCTTTCTGCAGGTTTCTGTTCCACTCAAACCTCTAGTCCCAAAAAAGCCCCGCCCTCCAGCCATGCCGTCCAACCCCTACCTTCCGCCACACCCCGTCTACAACTCCAACAGTAAACCGCCGCCACACGGGGCAGTCGCACCTGCTGCTGCCGGACCCAACAGGTACACCCGACAGCTTTTTGTCTCTTTCTTAAAGCTTTCTGATCTAAGACGATGACGTAAGTGTACTTCCTCAAGGTTTCCTGTAATCTGACAGGAAGAGACACGAGGACATGTTTGCATCATGAGTGAAATTGCAGCTGTGTTTGAGCCAATCAGCTCGTCCAACAGACGAAGAGTGGAGCTAATCGTTCAACATGTACAGTTGTGACTTTTTAACAGGAAGCTGCTCTTTTTGTAAAGTGTTGCACAAATGCCAGGGCGTGAAAACGTGCGAGTGAGGGTGACGGCTTCCTGTGGCGGGTATGCAGCAGGGCGGAGGCGCTGAACTCTCAGGAATCTCTGCAAATTTGATTCAGCATCACACCTCTCAGCACATGAAACTAGAACAGCGTCAAGCATAAACAATAAAACCTGAAACGGTTTGAAGATGTAAACGTGTTGAAACTGAATTTGAAACGTGTGCAGGAGCTGTTTGCTCCGCCGAAGGCCGTCTCTGATGTTAGCCTTAATGTAAAAGTGAGCCGTGAGCAGTAACGTCTTCTCTCCTCTGTGCAGACGGCCTCCTCTTCCTCCGTTGCGACCCGCCGTCCCTCTGAAGGTGGAGTCCTCTCCTCCGCTCTGACCCCCCGGGTGACCTTTGCCTGATCACAGAGCAGCTGAAGGTGGAGACGATGGAGATGATGGAGACTCGCTGTCACCGGATTTCATCCTCACGAGTATTAATGAGCGCTGCTGTATCTCTGGAGTTCAGTGCCTTGCTCAGCAGCACCTCGGCAGCGGTTAATGTGGATGTTTGGGTGACGTCACGTTCATTCAGTGCCTTGCTTAAAGACCCTCGCACCGACCTATGATTAGTGGTTTCCAAACTGTGGTCCGCGGCCCATCCATTGTTTTTTTTAAGACGTTGTTTTTAGTGAAACTTTGTTTTTTTTAAATAAACGCGTATGCGCCCGGACAGACTTCCTGCCTGCTCCAGGATCTTCTGATCAACAAAGACTTGGATGAATGTTCGAGTGGGCAGCAGGAGATGAGTCACAGATTTGCTACGTTTTATTTTCTGTTACAGAGAAAACAGATTTTTTGCTCGGAATATTTTTATGAAGATTCCCACACACAGGCTCGAGTCGCTATTGGACAACATCCTCGCTCTTATTTTGAAAGCTGCACGGCTGCTGACCCGAGCCCAGCTCGTGTTTCCCTACAGACGCCGTCTCTGCGTCCGCAGCTGGCGATGACTCTGTGCTCCTCCCTCTCCTGGGATACACAGTGAGCTGGACGAGCGACCAATCACACCCTGCAGCAGGTGTACAGGAAGTGCAATCACCAGCTGAGCTCCGCCACAGTCAGAGGAGAGGCGGCTGACGACGGCTCCTCCTGGCACAGAGTGGGCACAGAGCAGCGGTCCGGTGCGTTGTGATCCATGCGTGACTTCCTGCCTCACTGATGCCGCATATGCAGCGTCACTGTGCAGGAAACGCCGCTGTCAGGAAGAGCGACTGCGAATAAAGCTGTAACGCTGCTAACTGTGCTGACTTTATTCTGAAAATGTCTCCATCCTAACTTTCACGTATTCACAGGAATAAAGTAAGACGAGGCTTTTGGCCGTCATCACTTTGATCTCAGAGCTTCAGCCTTTATTTTGTAAATGTCACAATAAAGGATCAGGACTTTATGCTGTTACGTAATGTCAGTGAGCTTTTGTTTTTTTAAGGTTTCTACTGTACAAACGCTGCTCTGATGGCGTCGGTCTTTGCAGGTTTTATTTTAGTGCTTTTTATGTACGTGTGTACTTTGACTTTATTGTGAAAATCTGAGGTTTTTGTTCTTTTCTTAAATGTTCGCCACACCTCTCGCCTTCGCCCGCGTGTTTCTACACCTGCTGACTGTGTTTAATTTTGCTGGCTCGTGTTTTTTTATTTTCTGAACCCGCCTTGAGAGCAGAGACAGCAGGAATGTGCGCCGATCGTTTGTAACGTGACACCAAGGAAACGCTGGGAGACTAAAGCGATGAAGATTCAGAGGAAGGTTGATGTGAGCTGCTAAAGGAGCAGTTTGCAGTTTAACCATCGCCTCGTCGCCTTCTCGCTTGCAGCTGTGTGACGTGCTTCAATTTAAAGACATCTGAGAAAACGTGACTGTTGCCTTTTTGTAGTTTCTGTCCTTGGATCCTGGAGGTGGACCGAGCGGTCCCCAGCCACCCCGAGAGGGCTGGGGGTTGATTCCTGTCCAGCCTGTGTGCCTGCTATTAGATTAAACTGCAGTGATGTGAATAAAAGAAAGTCTGACGCCTCAACTTCAGTTATTTTGTCCCCACAGTGAATAAATGTTTCGAGGTGGTGTTCAATAGAACAGACAGCTGCTGTATTCAGAGCAGATTCACATAAACCTGCAGTAAAATAAACATATCAATAAACAATATATATATTTGAAACAGCCTGGCCTTGCTTCTAGAGTAAGAGCGGATGTGCACTTTTTTTTTCATTTATTATGAAAAACCAACGCAAGAAGCATGGAGGGTAAAACCTCGAGTCTGAAGCCTCGGGTTTGAGTGACTCTGTCTGCACCAAGTGACTGAAAAACCTGGTTATTCCTCCTGCTTCACTAGAACGAGCAGAAGCTACAAAATGCACTTTGCTTTTCTCAGTTTGACCTGAGACCCTGAACTCAGGAAGTGTCGCTGAGGTCAGATCATCTCTAAGCCTCCTGCGCGACCGCAGGAACCACGGACTGTCGACACAGAATAATAATAATGGATTGCATTTATAGAGCGCTTTACAAAACCACTATTCATTCACTCTCACATCCACACACTGGTGGAGGCTACAGGTGTAGCTACAGCTGCCCTGGGGCAGGCTGACAGAAGCCAGGCTGCCATATCGCGCCATCGGCCCCTCTGGCCAACACCAGTAGGCGGTGGGTGAAGTGTCTTGCCCAAGGACACAACGACCAGGACAGAGAGCCCGGGGATCGAACCGGCGACCTTCCGGTTACAGAAGTGCTACAGAGTCACTCAGAGAGGCCACGCCCTTTGCAATGCAAACTTTAAGCCTTAAATAAATCTCAGCCCTGCAGGTCGCTGAAGCCTCGTTAATGTTTATGAAGCCAAACGTCATGAAACCTCTGAGGTCTGCTGATCCAGATCACTTTCTTTAAAAGTGTGGGAATAAAAACAAGAAAAAGAACAAGCTCACATTCAAAGGCAGGAAGGTGAAGTCCAGGCACTGACGAGCTTCTCCTTTCTCAGTTTCTGGCTCGTTTGTTTCTTCGTCTGTACTTTTTCTTGTTTCCAGAGGGATTTTTCTGTCTCCCCTGAATTTCACAGCAGCGTCTGTTTGTCTGGCTTCTTTGTAGAAGTGAATCTGAATAACGTGGGGAACAAAAGCTCTCGCTTTTCCTGACGCGGGCGACTTTCTGCAGAATTATGAACTCCACTGTAAATAAACTGTCTCATGGAGGATGTGAAAACGACGAAAAAGTCAGATTCAATCTCTCTCAAATAAATAAATAAAAACAGCTGTAATGCTCGGACATCAGAAGACTTCCTGCAGATGTTAGATTAGATGTTGGCTGCAGACTGAAAACTGGCTGATATTAAGAGTATTTACAGAGTGTGGAATCACTCCATGACACTGATCATGTTGCAGATGGTGAGCTGCTGTAATTATGAGGGGTTAAAGAGATTATGGGGGAAACAGCCTAAGATTTGTTCGTATTGCACATGTTGGGGCGATCGTGGCTCAAGAGTTGGGAGTTCGTCTTGTAATTGGAAGGTTGCCGGTTCGAGCCCCGGCTTGGACAGTCTCGGTCGTTGTGTCCTTGGGCAAGACACTTCACCCGTTGCCTACTGGTGGTGGTCAGAGGGCCCGGTGGCGCCAGTGTCCGGCAGCCTCGCCTCTGTCAGTGCGCCCCAGGGTGGCTGTGGCTACAATGTAGCTTCATCACCAGTGTGTGGATGACTGGATGTGTAAAGCGCTGTACAAATACAGGCCATTTCCCATGTTTGTCTCCACGGCGACCTGTAACTTTGTAAACCCCCACATCCACCTCCGTCCATCACCGCCTCCTCTTCTCCTACCACATCCACTCTAATAGAACTCCTCGGTTCCTCGGAGCAAGACAACATCTCCTGGTCTGACTGAAAGCATCCTCACATCGATCTTCACGTCCATTAAAGAGTCCAGCAGACTGTGAAAGTCTCTCTCTCGCCTCTGCCGCAGGAAAACCAAGCAAAGAGCACTTACAGCGGGCTCGGGTCCCACCGGAGACTTCCCTCCCCGAGCCGCATCACTGCTGTCCAACACAAACGAGCTCGGAAGCAGGAATTTCCTTCCTGTGTTACCTCCCAGCACACGCTCGAGTCTCAGATTCAGCTCGTGAAGGGCTCTGTTTTCAACATCAGATGGTGAACGCAAAGCTTCACGCATGGCTTCACAGTCACCCGCCACTTTGTTAGGTACACCTGTTCCACTGCTCGTGAAAGAAAACATCTAATGGAAGCCACTCCATCCATGTGGAAATGATAAAGTTCAAACTGAGCAGCAGGTGAGTGTGGCGTGTTAGCTGGAGTCAGACACTGCTGATCTGCTGGGATTTGCCCTCGTAAACATTTGTAGAGTTTCCACAGAAAGATCCAGTGAGCAGCGGTTCTCTGGGAGAAAATGAGCTGATGGGAACAAAGTTACAGCTCGGGTCTGCAGAAGAGCATCTCTGAATGCACAGCATGATGGGCCATAGCAGCAGAAGACCACACAGTGTGCACATCTTCTGATGAGCGCTTCCAGCACACAGCACCTCAAACAGACGCCTGCCCAGCAGAGCACTGCAGCAGCTGCGTGGTGCTCTGCTGATGTTTCCAGCGTTTAGATGAATCTCTGCCATGAAGAATTAATGCAGGTCTGAAGGTGGAAGGACTCAAACCAGGTGTAACTAACAAATTGGCGTGTGAGTGTTGTAAGTTGCATTTTAAAGGCCATCACTCGTGCTCGGTGGCTTCTTCGCGTTGGAGCAGAAACTAGTTGAAGTGGTCTTCAGCGCTCGTCTCCACGCGCTGGTTTGTAGGTCAATGCTTTTTCTTCCTGTACATGCGTGCCCCATGGGGTGAAACGGAAAAGCAGTGGGTTGATGAGGGCGGATGTGAAATAAGGGGAAGCACCGCAGAGGAACAGGAGAAGCAAAGAGAAAACCAAAGTCCCCTGATCAGCTTTCAGAGGAACAAACGAGACTCTCATTTTAGCGTCTTTAGTGAAAATAAGTTATCTGCACAGCGTGACACGAGCCAGCTCAGCCCAGCACTGAGGCTGTGCAGAGAAGCTTCCACCCTCCTCCCTCTGACCTCCGACCGCTGCGAGGAGGAAGCTGTGGTCGTGTTGCTCAGTGATCAGAGCCGCATTGGCTCAGAGCTCGGCGGAGGCGACAGACGAGCTGCACGTTTAACAAAGCTCTGCTCCATCACCTTCACCAGCTCATCCATCATGGCTCTCCCAGCCGTCCTCCTCCTCCTCCACCTCCTGTTGAGCTCCGAGGGTTCCCTCTCTCCTCCGCGGATCTCCTTCGCTCTCAGTGAGTCCAACGCTTTGTTTTAATTCTGTGCTTGAGTCTCGCAGAGTCTCCGTCCCTCCTTTTTTATTGTTCTGTTTTTTCTTTAAAGGGAAAAAAGTTTATGAAATCTTTGGATGTTTTTTAGTTTTGCTCCCAAAAGCAGATTTTCTCAGTGCGGGGTTAATAGTGATACTGTGATGTGAGAGGTGATGTTTTCACATCTGTTTGTCTTGGAAAAACAATGTAAAAGCTTTTTTGTTGCTTCAAAGTCAGCTGATTTTCTGCCTGCACGGCAGAGATGCGTCTGTTCGGCCTGATGGCGCTTTGCACGAACCATCTAAGGTCTTATCTTTGTAATATCTGCTGTGATGCGTTCACTTCCCCGGGGAGCTGTCCTCATTCCGAGCTTGTGAAACAGAGTTCGGTCACATGTTCAGCTGAGACTCGTGAATATGACGAGTTTGTCTGAAAACAGGAAAATGATCTAACAGGAAAGATTTCACACATAGCTGCATGTTGCAAACATTAACGCACCAGCGCGCACTGCGGAATAATCCTTCCTTGTCTTACACCGGCGCCGCGCTTCACCCACGCTGCGTGCAAACTGATGTATTTCACGTTTCTGACACCAACTCGGTCCACACAGTGTTTTTCTGTTGTGCAGTCACATGCAGCCGGGTCAAAGCTGTGCTGTGCGGGGCGTGGACGCACAGAGGAGTCGTGCCAGATGTTGTGTCAGCTGGACGGACTTTCAGAGCTATCGCTTTCTGTAGGCTGCAGCTGTGGCCGCGAGTTTTCCAGGAGAGTTTGTGCAATCGTTTGGCTTCGCACGCTGGAAACGTGTATACGTGTTTACAGCAGTGGGATCGAAGCAGCTGGGATTCATCATCAACTCTCGCGGGAACCTCCGCACTTCCAGATTTTCCCACCCAAACCCGTAATCCGAGCGAACTTCATCATTCTCCATTCTTTGCTTCTGATGCAAACCTCTGTCGCCTTCAGTGTAAAAACACAGCTGCTGGAGGACAGACTCGCACCTCCGCCAGCTCCGGCTCACTGGAACCAGTCACGTAAGTTAACACTGCTGCTGACAGGCAGGATACAGACGTGACAGCATCCTGTCAGGCTCCAGAAGTTGGAGACAGGCTAAGTTTGCGGAGAGAAGCGTCGACAGTAACAGCAGTGTGGGTGCAAAACGAGCCCCGGCACCTTCAGCAGGAGGCCTGCACTCAGAGCTCGGTGCAACAGTCACTTCTCCATTTCAGAAAAGAAGTTGGGCCTTTATCGAGTTGAGCAATGGCATCAAGTAAACCACTAGCTTTGGTTAATCGATTTATTGGTACATTTATTATATCCCAGAGCGGCCAATTAACACCTGTGTGTAACTAAGAGCTCCAACATTCGCTTAAACAGTCACAAGCAGGTGAAAGCGTCACTATATCATCTCACTAGTTTACAGCTCCACATGAACTCTGTTAAACAACAGTTTGCTATCACTTATTAAAGGATGGATGAAGCTCGTGCCACTGCCAGCCAGCTTCTTGTTAACAGGTAACATGCGTTTCTTTCTGCTTCTCCTTTTTCCTGCTTTAAAATAAAAGCAGGAACTTTTTAAAACAAATATATGTGAAAATATATCTCAAATATGTCTGACCATTTAAAGGCCATTTACACAAAAAAGAGAAATGTAACACTGATGATTTCTAAACTCAGAATGACCTTAAAGCCTGAGGCTTTTTACAAAATGGAAACAGAATAATCTGCGCATGAAGCCTTTATTCAGTAAAGGATGTAGTCGTTGTCTTAAACAGCCTCTGAGAGCAACAATACACTTCCTGTCACATCGTCCTCCTTCCTTTCTCATTTTCTGGTCCACGAGTCAAATCGTTGATCTCCACTTGTTCCTGCCTGTTCGATGACTGTCACCAAACATTCAGATCCCTTCTAGAAACGTCCCACAGTGAGTTGGCAACTGTTCACAGCAGACATTGCCTCGTAAACGAACGTCCTCAAAGAGGCGAGAGTGAAAGAGCAGAACGATTGCATCTCTCATTGCACCCTCGCTTTCTGCAAAATGGTCCAAAAGACTCCAAAGCACAAGAAGTAAAAGGTGGAGCTTGATCCACCTGCTGGTCTGCCTCTGGCTGCTCCTCCTGACCTTCTGTGTTTCCTGCATTTAGCACACTGATGCAACAGTTCTGTTTCCAACATCCATTTGATCTCGTTGATGGTTAGACCCTTTCCTTGGTGTTTAACCTGCTCATGATAGTGAGCTGTCATCATCCTTGTTATGTGGTGGTCCTTTGGAATGAAAGGAGAGATGCATTTTCAGTCTTCTTAGTGCTTGAACCCTTGTAACTTTTAACTTCTTCGGGGGTTACCTCTACAGCTGGAGAAGCCTGCTGCAGTGCAAACATCACTGCTGATGTACTGAGATTTATTTTGCAAATCGTATTTGATACAAATGTGTGCAAAGCACGGGCCTCGTTGTTGATGTACCCAAGTACAACCTTGGAGTCTGTCCAGAAGTTCTTCCTTTACAGTGTTGCTTGGTGCGCAGCAGCAAGGTACGGTGACTTTCTCATTTGCTAGATCATCTTTCAGCCTCTCCAGACTGGCTGCAGTTCACCGATGGCTGGCTCGTCCGGCCTGTATCAGTCTCTTCTGTCTCACGCTCGGCCAGTTTCAAAAGCCTGCGACTTTGACAGCATTTTCACATGGTTATGGTTCTGGTTATGGTGGCTAGCGCCGTGTTTCACACAGCCTCACGCAGCCACAGTGACGACGTGATGAAAGTCTCTCACATCTCCCCCCAGAGCTTGAAACAACAACAACCAACAGCTAATTAAAGCACGCTGAGAAAAGGTTGGTGAGAAAACTTTTGTACATCTGTTAAGCTCCTGAATCCATATTCAAAACCTTGGAGCAATGCTGCACTTTAAGAAACTTTTGAATGTGCAACAAATTTGTTATAAAGGTCAAACACAAAAAGGGAGAAAAACGCAGAGCAGAAACCAAGCGCTGGACTCAGCACCAAGACCGAATCAGAGGAGAGCAGATCAACGAGGACGACGGCACAGCAATCAGTGGATGAGCACATTAAACATCTTTACTCTCTCTGCCAACACACACCTGTGACCGTGTGCGGGTGCATCGCTGCAGCCACGCCATTGGCTCGTGAGTTTCCCGGTCAGGCTGCTGATTGGCTCTTTGCAGAACTGCTGCAGAATTCTCTAGTTTTCCACTCAGGACTCCTTCAGCGGCTCTTTGATGTCTTTGATTAGATGAGGTGTGTTTAAACGCTCTGCTGTGAATGCTGGAGAGGGCGGCGGGGGACACTATGACATCATAAATCTGTCAGCGCACGCTGGCTCCTAAAACTGCAGCACACCTCACATCAAGCCGTTCGTCTTAGTGTTTTCGGGACTTTTGTGGCCATCAGATCGTTATTCATGCGGGCATTTAGTGACACATAAAAACCCATAAAAACCAGTCTGAGTCAGCGTAACTATGGTAACAGACGTTCATTCATGCCTGCGGTGAGATTGGAAAGCAGAAGTAAGTTGTGATGAAACCAGAACTGCGTATAAGACACAGTTTGGCAAGATTTAAGGAAGATTTCACTGCCAAGCATTAATGTTTCAAACTGTGAAACTCGGTAAACCACTTTACTAAATTTAATGAAGTCACCTGTCAACAGTCTCCAAGTTACAACATGCTGCAGGTTTGAGATCACCCTGGGTCAGCACACCTGAATCTCATGATTAGTTCATTACCAGGCCTCTTCAGGACATGTTGAGGAGCTCATTCAGCCGTTTAAATCAGCTGAAACACCTAAAACCTGACGCCTGGAGTTGCCCACCCCTCCTCCAGGTGATCAAGTTGTTTGAACTGATCCTGCCAGGCCTCTCTGCGACTGCTCCAACAATCGGATCAACTCAGAACTTGGATCTGGTTTATTCAGTTCTTCTATCACAACAAAATGAGGTCAGCTGAGGCTGAGATGACTGCATGTTCTCGCGGTCGCTGTCATGGGGAAACGTATATATATATTAAAAACCATAATCAACCACTCTGTGGCATGTGTGATAATGAGAGGGTTTATATTTTCACCGGGTTATGAGCTAGAGTGAGGCTTCAAACAAAAAGCAGATTTAGTTAAAGAAGTCGAGGGAAAACACAACGGAAGAAGCTCTGAAGGGAACAGCGAACAAAAGCAGAAAACAGTGAGAGGCGTTTTGTTGCCGTCACTGATCCTCAGCAAGGATTCGCTTCACTTTTCTGTCCTTCGCTGTGAATTGCGACATGTCTGAGCTGCCCTGAGCGGCGCTTCTTGGAAAGCTGATCACCGGCGCTCCTCGTCCTCTGAGACCAGACAAACGTCCTCTGACAGGACTTCTGCTGATCGGAGTCTGGTGTTTGTGATTAGGAGACGCTTTTCTGTCAGTTTGATCTGTTGGTGTTCAGATGATGAGCATTCTTTTGGTCCTGAAGTGGCTCCACTGAGCAGTTTCAGACCGTCGACTCTTCGGTCAGAATAAAATCGGACACTTTTTCTTTTTTCTGATGCTTCTTATTACTTTCAAGCATTCAGATTCTAACAACAAACAAACAAACAAACAAACAAAAACAATTAAAAAAGCACACGTGCTGAACTATTAAAAGCAAGTTCAGTGGGTGCAGAGTCCTTAAAAACCTGTGAAAGGTTGCAGGAGTTCATCAGCGCTCACATTTTCACCCCAGTACTGTGCAAAAGTCTTTGAGCTGCCCCTCATTTCTTTATATTTCTCTTGAAACACAGAATGGACACACATCTGTGGTTTTGCGTTGATGTTTTAGTGAATATCCTGTGAAGGTGACGTCATCGATCAGGCACGTTTGTTGATCGTCGGACGGCTGTTTCAGTACAAAGTTAACGTGGTCACTGCTTCAGGTTCACTGCTGACAGAAACATTTCCTTATTTTGTATGTCACAGATTCTCAAATCCTCCAGCTTTCAGATAATTTTCAGGTTTTATGACCTTCAGTGGCTCCTGGCAGTTTGCTGTTCAGTTATTTTATTTGAGTTGTTGGTATCAAACGAATCTCTGTGAAAAGATTGAAATATCTGGTAAGATTTCTGGTTGCTCGTTACATTGCGAGTGTGAGTCATGCTTTGGTTGCATGCACCGTTGCATGCACCGTTGCATGCACCGTACGTCACCAACCGGCCTCTTTTTTTGCAGTTGTTGAGCAAAAGGCCTTCATGACAGTTTTTATTCATTAACCGCACAGAGAAAGCATTGTTTAGGTGTGTTAAAGTTTTCTTTAAGCAAACAGTATTAAAGTTCTTCGTGCCTTTGGAAATCCAAATATGGTCACCCTGTTAGGCTAAAAGTCTGCGACGCAAACGAGGGTCCCGTTAGCTGATGGTGACTTTACGTTTTATTGTCCTCGGCTACGTCCACGCCTACACGCGTATTTTTGAAAAAGCTGATTTTTCTGATGCGTTCGCAGCTTTCGTCCACACGTAAACGCCGTTTTCAGTCCCTGAAAACAGATTTTTAAAAACTCCTGCCAGGATGGAGATTTAAAAAAACAGTTTTCACGTTTACGTGTGGACGAGGAAAACGCAGAAAACGCAGCGTCAAAGGTGTGCGCCTTTTTTGACGTCACGCTGTGCGCCACGTTATTGTTTCGGTGAAATGAATTTCTACAATACTGTTACTGTTACTCTCTGCAGCGTTTAAACCACTCAGTGCTGCTTCTATCTTTGTTTACTTGTTTTACTGTTTCTGATTGGCCAACATTTCTACAGGTTAGGAATATATCGCCACCTGTTGCTTGGTATGTTCCTGGCAGCGTTTTCCTTCGTTTTTGGCGTTTACGTGTGGACGTAGCCTTCGCACAAATATATCTGCATTCATAAATAATAGCCAGGAAGCGCAGGAAGTACTGAGCCAGCTTCCTGTTAAGTTCTTAAAAGCGTTCAGATGTAACATTCAAGACTCTAACGAGCAGAAAGCAGTACAAGTGAGTCGCGTCAGTAAGAAGGGGCCGTCTTTACTCAAGCTTAAAGGAGTAAATCAATAAAATGTCACGTGATCAGAAATATTGCAGAGATGGCAGCAGTGCGACTGAGACTCTGTAAACAAGTCTACTGAGAAATCTGCTGCTGAGATGTTTCTTATTTTTAAATCTTATCGTTCATATGTGGAGAGTTTCTCTGCAGCTCTGAACCACATCCTCTCCAAACCTGCAGCCTCACAAACAGGCAGTGCTGCTGTCTCTGTGCCGGTCAGCTGCTGAGTGAAGCCACGACATGTTGCGGGTGCTCACCGAGCTGCGTCCTCTCACCTCCTGTTGTAGTCTCCGTCTTTATTTATCCCTGTCTGAAGATAAGCTCAGCAGAAACCACAGAGCGAAGCTGTAAAACTTCAAAAGAAATCGCAGGAACTTTGTTTCGATGTTTTCATGTTTGATAAACTTGCTTTCTTTGCTCTGTTTGCACTTCTGACTAACACTATCTAAACGTATCTCTTTAAATTGACCCGCCCCGTATAATGACCCTTCTGCGGCGTCCTTAAAGGTTACAGAGCGTTTTCCCACACAGGGCTCAGACACGCTGCGCCTGAATCACCCTGCGTGGGAGCTTGTAGAGCAAGGCCCTTATGTTTGCTTAATATTAGCTTCCTCCAAGTGTTTGCTGAGATCCTCAGGTTAGATTTCTCTTTGAGTCTGCTGTGCATCCAGCCCCGAGTGTCGTCTTGAGTCCAGCTCCTGTGCAACCTGGAGTTTCCTCAGACGGTAACAGCTGCTGTGGTTTCTGTGTGTTTGTGTCCAGACTCCACGGAGAGACCTGTGCTCCACTTTGGCCACGGTGACCTCCACAACACCACCGCTCTGCTGCTGAGCAGCGACAGCTCCACTCTTTACGTTGGCGCACAAAACGCCATCCTGTCACTGGACGTTAACCAGAGTGATGTCATCAGACTGAACAAGAAGGTGCTCAGAAGAAATTTTACTGAAATATTATTACTTTTACTGCTGAGGTCCCGTGATGCCCAACAGTTCGTCTGTGTTTTGTTCAGGTGCAGTGGAGTCCGTCTGATAAAGAGACATCGGATTGCACGGGGAAAGGAAAGGATTTAATGGTAAATATAAAATCCACACACAGCAGTAATTGTGTATGAATATGAATACTTGTTCTTTTCACTGTATGCTGAATTTTCACCAGTAAGGAACAATCCAAATGTATTTAACGCTGCAGAGAATTGAAACCCTGATTCCTGGACCACATCGCTTCACTCCACGTTGGTCCCTCCCTTTTCTACCTGGCCCTAATGTAGCTGGATATACAAAAGCAAGAACACCCACCAAAGATAAAACTTTGAGATATTTTAACCAGAAGAGCTTCGTACTGTTTAAAGCTGCGGAGGAGTCAACAGGAGTACGTGTGGGAGAGGACGTAAAGGAAAAATGTAGAGATTTGATTCAGTTTCTGTTGTTTTGCAGAATGAATGTCCAAACTTTATCCACGTGTTGCAACCTCTAAACTCCACCCATCTCTACACCTGTGGCAGCTACGCTTACAGCCCCCAAGAAGCGTACATCGTAAGTTCATACATGCTGTCAGCTTCAACCAAGTCTATTCACCAGATGAGAAAAATCTTATGTCCTATATAAATGCTTCCTAACAGCTCAGACACAGTTGGATGTTCAGCTTTTGTTTGTCTTCATCAGGACACCCAAAGCTTCTCTATTGTCAAAAAAGTCAGCGCTAAAGGTCGCTGTCCGTTCAGCCCCTTCGAGAGGAGCGCCGTCGTCATCGCAGGTCAGTGTGCTGAGTTGCAACTTTCCGCTGGGCTCGCATTCAGCGATAAAGTGGTCAAACCTCAAGCTGTTTGCACGTAACTCAGCAAGAATCTTTGCAGAGTTGATATTTTGGGGACGAGGAGTGCTGCAAAATTTGAATCACTAGTTTTTGTTTTTTATCTTCCTTTTGTTTTGCAGAAGTTTCGTTTCAGTTCTTTCCAGAGTTTCTTTTTTTTTACACATTTCAGTTTAGTTTCAGAGTAACTGAGAGCGAATGTTTAGCTTTTATTAAGTTTCAGTCACAGTTTTACTTCGGTTCTTTTTTTAAATAAAAATGCAGTAATGGAGTATTCGGTATGAGCCAAAAGTTTAGCTTTAATTACATTATAAATGAAACGTTATTTCTCACTTAATTTCCATATTTTCTTGTGTTTTTGTTGCAATATAAGTTTCAGTGGAGAAATCTGTAGCCTTAACTTTGTGACCTTTAATGTGTAGGATGCAATGCTTTCAAAAACAAGTGGAAAACTATCTGATTCACGCTGGATGTCAGCTGCAATAAAAAAAGTTTTGTTTCACCTTTTGCACAAACCACAGTTGCATGAGAGAATTTCATATGAAGCACAGCATCTGTGGGTGGCATGGTGTCACTGGCTGTGACCCACAAACCAAACAGCAGCAGGGTTTACTCTCTGACACGGAGCGTGCCTGTCATTTCCTTCCCTGTGCACAGCAGCGCGTACTGTGTTATGTCCTGCATGCACTGCATCAATCTAATAAAAGAGCCAAAAATATATTTAAATGTATCAGATGCACGGCTGTTTTCACGACACACTGGTTACTACGATCGCTAATGCGAGGAATATTAACACTGATGTGCGAGTTGGCACACATGAATAATACACACTACATAATGTGTACTGTGTTGTTATAAAGCAGAGCAGCATTTGTTGTATGTTCTCACGTTAATATGTGCTTTAAAACAAACACCCGGAGCTCTCCTGTTTATTTATGTGCAGACGGCGAGCTGTTCACAGCCACAAAAACCGACTTCAGAGGAATCAAACCACAGATTTTGCGATACTTCAGCAAAGACGGCCGTCCAGACGTCAGCCTGGAGACGTCGATCCGCCTACTGGAAGGTGAGCGAACATGATCAGGATAAATCAAGCTGTAAAAAGCTTTGTCACAAAGAAACTAATGGGTGCAGAAACTAAAAGAACAAACTGGACTTTTCTGCTTTACACCTGAATTTCACTGCAATGAAAAACCCTAAAATATGGCATCACAAACACACAAGAACCGGACTGAAACTAGCGTAACAAATTCCATTTCCCCCGATGACCCAGAGTTGTGGTATGACCCACTTTGCAGGTCTACATATAGGCTTGCTCCGCCCCTTTTCACCTCTTAGCTCATCAACCAAGGAAAACAGAAAACTCATATATTTAAAGAAGGACTAATCTAAGTGTAGTGCTATGTGTAAGCTTCTGCTGTTACCCTGATGTTTGGTAGATGTCCCCACGTGTGGCTGTAACTGCATCACGCTTTAGTCCATATCACACTCATGGATCTGCATCAGCGTCATCGAATGTGGGCTGTTGGCCACAAATGGTAAAAATAATTACTGACATCTGTCTCACACAGCTAAATGCATATCTGTGATAATGTGATATGTCTCACCGCTGAAACCACCACTAATATAGGAGCACGCGTAGGAGTCCTGTCACACCCCCGAACTCAAGGTGCTGAAAGAGAATTATTTAAAAAAGCCACGTGTGTGGGATTACTTTAGTTTTGGAGCAGGTGAAACTCGGGCCTTGGTTTCCAGCCTCAGGTTGGAGTGCAGTTGACATATGCTGTGTAATGATTGGGGTGTCCGATCTTTAATATGTTAAAAAAAGTATCTTTATAATCTATCCTGGACTCAGAACTGTGCAAAGATGGGACTGGAGTCATCCACACTGGTGTTCAGGTCTCATCTTCTCATATCTGAGTCTTCGTCAGCATCTCAGTAAAACTGTCCACTCGACGCACAAACCAAAGCACCTGTCCAGTTACCGGAGCCTAGGTGTCTCTTCATTGTTCCTGTTTAAACAGGTTCCACATATAACATTTGGTGCCACTAAAGACCAGGATGAAGGACGTCACTCTTCTACACATCCTGCTGACCAGCCAGGGCACAGTGTTTATGCTGCAGCATCCTGCATGGGCATGGTAGGGCAGGGAGGCCAAAGCCTTAGTGGCAAATATAAATCGTTGCACATTCACAAATGGACAAACTCTGTACAAATGGACAAACTCTTCTTGGCCCTTGGAGGTTGGGTCTATGGGGTCCGAAACAGCAAAGGTTCTGTCCGGTTCAAAGCTACTCTGCGTCTTTGTTGGCTCTGCTGCTCCTCCTGAGCATCCACAAGCAAAATCCTCAATTATTAGGCCCGCCTACTAAAGCTCGGATATTCCTGTGAGGAGGTTGTTGTGAAGTAACTCAAGAGACGTGTTCCTGACATTTAAACTACATTTTTATTAATGAAGAAGCAGAAAAAGCTTCCCATAACCTGCTGCAGTAGCCTCCATGTGAATCAGCGTCTTACACATCGAGGCAGTGACTCTGCCAACACTTAGATGTTGGTCATAACTACTGTTCTTTAAAACACTGACATGGAAAAACCACAAAAACCTCGTAAACATGGATCAGACATGTTTGTGTCAGCTCAAATACTTTCAACCAAACCACAGCTGTGAGGTCTGCAGAATTCCCTGCGTCCTGTCTCCAGCTGCTCATTTCCTCTTTGTCTTAGACGTCGCAGTGTCTTTGTCGTTTTAAAAAGTTATGTCTGCTGCACATAAACACATCATATTATGTGTTGACTCTTTCTCCACCCATCGGTCTGTCAGCTGAGTACTTTGTACGCTCCAGATCACTTTCCCCTGTATTCAGACCACATGGCACAGACTCTGTTCTGTACTCACTTCCTGCGCTTCTGTATTTCAGAGCCTACATTTGTCAGCTCATCACTGGACCCAGCAGAGGGGAAACTCTACTTCTTCTTTAGTGAAGTTGGGAAAGAGTTCAGTTACGTAGAGGATCTGAAAACCGCTCGGGTGGCTCAAGTCTGCAAGGTGACAGCAAACAGCGAGAGCGCATAATGTGAATGTGCTTATTACCATTAATATTACATGAAGGATTGTTCTGTGCTGGTTTTACAGGATGATGTTGGTGGAGTGAGGACTCTGCAGAAGAAATGGACGTCCTTTACCAAAGCCACTCTGCTCTGTCAGTTTGAGAAACAGCTTCCCTTCAATATTCTCCAGGATGTGTTCACCCTCCCGCCACCAGAGGGCGGCGACACTGCTGACACTCTGTTCTACGGTGTCTTCGCGACTCAGTGGTAGGTAACCAGGAAATAAGAGGGATGATGTTTGGATTGTTCTGGTCTTAAATGTTTTAACTGTCACATTTTTTATTAAAGCCATGTTTACATCTAGTTACTGCCAAATAAACAGCTGAGGATCAACCCCCGAATTTCCCAGCTTGGATGTTCAGATGAGTGATTGGTGGCTGATTGGTGGCTGCTCGCTCAGTCCCAAATTACTTATTTGGGACTGAGCGATGAAAACCACATGAGCCAGGGTGGCATGGCTCCATGGTCGACAAACACAAACTAGTAGCAGAAAAAGAAAAATGGTCCCTTCCTGCCTGCCCAGGGGGCCCGATACCCCAGAGACCCCCTTCACAGCTGAGAGATTTACTGTACAAGAGCAAATTTGTGCCGTCTTTATGTTCATGCGTGAGACAGTTTCAATAAACCAAGTTTTTAACAGACAGTCACGTTAAAATAAACAGTGGAAGATCAGAGGAGTCTTCACTGGACCATCGCTGGGCTGACATGAGATTCTTTCTTGAACTGCGTCTTTGGGCACATTTTCCTTTAATGTATGGGATATTTGGTAACCATGGCAGCGAAAGCAACAGAACCATCAAATTCAGCAGGATCTCGTGTATGTCCTGGTTTTAGGCCAATCATTGTTGACTCAAATAAAACAAACCCACAACTTTAGCACGTTAGCTCTGTTTCTAAAAGTACCTGTTCAAGTCAGGACGTCTCAAATCTGTCTTAAGGACGTCGAGGTAACCGCTGCAATCTGGTTTATTTCAGGTCCAGAGGTCCAGAGTCTGCAGTTTGTGTCTTCAGACTTGAGGACATCAAAGACGTGTTCAAGGGGAGCTACAGGACCTTCGTAACGGGGACCCACCAGTGGAGTACGCAACAGGAAACGCACAGCTACCTGGGAACGGTGGGGGGTTCATTTCTTTCTAGACTTCCTGAATCCTCAAAGCAATCGTAAAATCAAAGATAGATTTGCTCATTTATGTCAGACGTACTGTAAGCACCTTTCAAGTTTCCATCTGCACTTTACTAAAAACGTTTCTTCATTAACGCGCTCGAGGAGAATAAGATGCAGCAGAAAATGCCGTGAAAACAAAAATGATTTAATGCCGTTTGTCATAAAACGAGCTGTTTCCAGATCTTACTGTTTGACCCTCTATGTTCTCCTGACAGTGTGGACTTGGCAATTCTACTGACGCTGTTTTGGGGGAAGTGAAGAAGAGTTTCCTGACCACGAACCCTGTGACGCCTGTCGGCAAAGGTCCGGTCGTCGTCTCATCGGAGCAGCAGTACAGTCGCGTGGCTGTGATGAGAGCACGCGCAGCCAACGATGAACAGCATACCCTCCTGTTCCTCATCACAGGTGAGACTGTGAACATAGACGAGCCCAAGCAGTCAGTGCATGGACATGTGATCAAAATGATAGTTCAGTGATGTAAACGGTCACATCCTGCTTGTAGTAATGAGCTTTGTTGTGGTTCTTGCATGACTTAAAACGACTTATCGCTTCTCTCTACTGTCCAAGAGTCTGGATTTCTCCACAAAGTGATTTTGCTTGATCAGGGTCCTTGGGTCATTGAGGAGATTCAGCTCTTTGCCCAGCCTCAGACGGTCCAAAGCGTGGTCCTCTCCACCTCCAAGGTAAACTGCACAATTCATTGACTGATCAGCAAACAAAGCATCCTGTTCACATTCAAATGTTTTTGACTCAGCACGAGCCTTCACGCGGGTGCAGGTAGAGATGTGTACAGGACGACTGCGTCTCACAGATTTGAACACCTGCGCTCTGAAACCTGAGCGATCTGTCAAACATTCGTCCGGCTGACTGTTTCTCTGCTCCTGCAGGGAGTCCTCTATGTGGGGACCTCTGAAGGCGTGACTGCCGTACCCGTGGCCAACTGCTCGACCTACACAACCTGCAGTCAGTGTCTCCTGGCCAGAGATCCTCTGTGTGGATGGAGCCGCGCTAGCAGGGCCTGTGCCCGTGTGCATGGCGGTCATGAGGACATGTAAGTAAAACTCACTCTGAGATAGTCCAGAACAGATGTGACCTGCACATACAAAATAAACCATCAGCTTTCTTTAAGACTCCTGATCGATATTTGTCTTTTTATCTACTACACTTTAAGAAATGAGTCTTGAAATGATTCGATGCTTTAGCTGAAACCATCGCCGGCTTTTCAGCCCTGGATAAATAACACTAACATTTCTGAAACCCTGATTTTAGTTACAATTATTTCAGCAACAATTCAGCTGCAGGACTCTGGCAACAGTTGTTGTAATAACTGTAATTGTCGCTATTCATTCATCGGAGTTGTCTTTGCAGCGCTGAGAGTGATGCCACATATAGCAGATACTCTCTGGTGTTTCTGACACGTAGACCATCAAAATGTACACGTAGCTGCAGCTCGAAAACTATCACCTGTCTTTATTTTAGGACTAGAGTAAAATAGAATAGCCCTTTATTGTCATTGTACACATTTAAAGAAACTGCACAAAAGCAATAAGCTGCAACCACCTGAGAAACAGGGCTTTATTTAATGTGGGGACATTAAATTAGGTGATGAATGGGTGAGCTGGAGCTTCGACCATGCTTAAAGCTGCAGGTGGAGCATGTCCTGTGAAAGGATGAATGTGGAAGCAAAGGGCCAACAGCTCTACAACCAACAGACAATCTGCAAAACGTGAAGATGTAAAAAATGTTCGAGGATTTTTTGTTCTCGTGAGAAGCTAAAGGTTCACACACAATGTTGTTTTCCTTTTCAGGGTTCAGAACCTGGAAGACAGTAATGTGGACGACAAATGTCAGGGGCAAACCGAGGCCGAGAAGATGACAGGTGATGTACAAATCTGTTGGCAGATACGGAGACTGAGAAATTCTGTTCAACGTATTCTGGAAACAAGCTCAGAGTTTTAACCTTGATGCTGTAACATTGCTGCCTGCAGTGGTCCGCGCTCACATGAATGAAGTGGTGAGGCTTTCGTGTCTGACACCTTCCAACTTGGCCACTCTGACCTGGGCCTTCCCTCAGTCAGAGAAGCTCTTCATCCAATCAGATGACGGCAGTCTCAGCTTCTTCGTCACTAACGACACTTCAGGGGTCTACCGCTGTGAGGCAGAGGAAGCCGGGTACAAACAAGTAGTTGAAAGCTATGACGTACAACTGATGCGCTCTAACTTGACCCCAAGAACCCATGAAACTGCAGGGCCGGACGAGACCTACGAGAGCATTGTTACCGACGATCCAACAATGTCTCCGACACGGCTCATACACGCCAATGAATACACCACCGATGACAGAAAGAATGGATTTACAACCAGTCCTACGGGCAAGGTGACCTCCAAAGAACATCGCAGAACAAACGGGAACCTTCAGAGCAGTAGTTCTGACACCCTGCACGGGGTGCAGCTCGACGACGTGACTCCGAAGGAGAAGAGTTACTACGGTGAGCTCGTAGGTGTTTCACTCATGCTGGCCTTGTGCATCTGCATCATGATTCTCGGATCGCTCCACATGTGGCAAAAAAGGAAAGTTAGTCTCGGGAAGGATGCACTGGTCACTCCGGAGGAGGGCGCCAGCATAAACAGGCCTGTGGAGATCTGCTCTCTGAGCAGCCGGGCGGAGCTCGAGCCTGAGCTGAAGGTGGTGGAGTAACTGAAGACGCCTTAACTTGCAGCTGGTTTAGCCGGACAGTTATCGCCAAAGACATCGTGAAAGTAGGAGAGTGTAAGAATCCTTGGAAAGCAGTTTGAGATTTTTAATGTTTACCTCAGTATTTGAGTCGTGTTTTTACCGCAGCCTAAAACCAAACGTCGCGAGCGTGTCGCAGATGTGACTGAGACACAGGGGGATACCTCACAGTCTTACAGTAGCACCTTAACCCAAGATGGCTCCAAGCTAAAGCCTAATGATGGGACCTTTATTTCCAAAGTGAACATCGTGTTTTATTCAATAAGACCGTAAACTCAGCAGGAGAGAGTTGGCTGAGCTCACATATCAACGGAACAGAGCGTTGTTTTCAGATGATTCAGACGTCTACGTGATTGGACTCGTTTTCACCCCCTGCTGGCGAATTGAAAGACTGCAGGCGTAAAGCACCTTTCAGCCCCATGAGCTACAGTTCTGTAATAATTATAGAGGAAATGGAATAAGTCTGAAGTCTGAGGTCTCAGAGCCGGTGGACTTAGGCTAATGCTGTGAAGCTAGCTCTTCTTATTTACTTTAATATGAAATACGCTCATTTTGGCAAAGGTTTGCATGCTGAACAAGACAAAGAGGTACCTGCTTTTCTTTAAGGTGGTGTAAAGTGTAAAGCTTTGAGTCTCAGTGCAGTTTATAAATGGCTGCTATACAAACACGTCCCCCCTGTGCCGACAGAAGCAAGCAGCTACCACAGAAACTGCAGAGTTTGGTACAGACACGTTCTCTGAGGTTGTCTCTTGAGGTCCACGGGAACCTTTAATGCATCTGCTGCTTGATATGAAATTTAAGAAAACATTTGAATTGTTTCTGTTGATGCTCGAGTTTCAGGGTCCTTTTATTTCCTGATGTTTTTAGGAGTTTTGTGTCTGTTAATATTCTTTGATTTTAAATGTCGGTTGTGGAACTACTTTTCTGTTTTAACTCAGGGCTTTGAAAACGGTGATAAAGGCAGCGGGTGTGTTTTATTAGTTGACATTAACGATGTCTTTAAGAATGGATTGAACAAATCATCCTGCTTACACGCACTCGTTTTAATCTTTTACATGTTTTATTTAATAAGATCTCTTTTGAATTTACAAGGCAGGTCGACTTAACCAGGACAAGGATTTATTTTTTGTGTGAAACTGTTCAGTTTTTATAAAATCTTGCCTCATATCAAGAAAAAGCTCACTTTTTTCTATTTAACATTTCCTGTTCCGGTTCTTGAGACGATGTTTTAATTGTTTGTTCTAAGTTGTATTTTAGTTTTTGGTTATTTTTCTCAGTGACGTGATTTCCGTGTGGATTTTTTGCACGCTACAGAATTTCTCTGTAACTCAGGCAAAATTGAATCTAGTGTTAGTGAATCCGATGCATGTTGAAGGACTGATGTTTTTATGTGTGAATACTCGGATAAATCATCTATATGCATTGCAAAGATTTAGGCTACTAGAAGAATATATTTGTGTTAAATGAATGTGCACAGTTGTCAGTCGCTGTATGTGAACGAATGTATGTAAACTGTTAAATGTGAAACCTGCTTTGAATGTAACACGGGCTAAGATTCAATAAAACAGTCAATAAATCCATGCTTTATGATTGTAGGTATGAATGAATGTCGCCCCCTTGTGGCGTAAGTGAACTACACACGTGAACTTGTCGAGGTTAAGAAATGAGGCAACTGCTCATTTCTTTCCTGGTATGTTGACGTAAGATAATCTGGTGTTGCTCAGGCCTAATGTTGAATGTCCTCTATGAGTTGAAATCACCTCCATCGTTACTTGATCTCCAAAATGTGAACAGTCGTCGATAAATCACGAGCAGAAGATTGATCTTAATTTGATCACCTCATTTGGCAAAATTTCAGGATATGCCTTCATCTAAAACCTGCTAATGACAATTTCACATATCTTGGATTGACTGTCCCTAATGATCCCAAATTATTTTTATCCACATTAAAGCATAATATGGAGTCATGGAAAATTCTTCCCTTATCCACGATTGGTCGTATAAATTCCATAAAAATGGTCTCTCTTCCTAGATTTTTGTATCTTTGCCAGAATCTTCCTCTTTATCTCACTTCCTCTTTCTTTAAGGAAATGGACTCGATTATCACGTCTTACATGTGGAACAACAAGAATCCTAGAATAGACAAATCTACGAGCGTTGACCTTCTGGCACCAGACATCCCCAGATCTTAGTAATTCTAACACCCACCTTTGAGTTATAATGGAGGCTGACGTAGTAAGGGACTCCTCTTTAGAGGCCCTGCTTTTCTCCAGAGTGGGGAAAGCTGAGGTTTTAAGAAACTAGGGTTTGTTCCAAAACAATCTGTGCGTATTTTAAACCAATTAGAGGTGTCCTTGAATTGTCAAACTCCTCTGTGCAGGCACCGATATGCTCTTTTGCCTCCCCTGGGTGATAAATCCACCATGTTTGGAGGGAGAAGGGCTTAATCAAATTCAAAGATCTTTATATATTTGGAAAATTTGCATCATTTTATCAGCTTAGGCAAAATTTCATTTTAACGCATTCACATTTTTACCGTTACCTACAAATTAGGCATTTTGTGCAAGCCAATATCAAGAATTATCGAGATATTCCGAATGAACACAACTTCTTTAATGTGCTCCTGAGCCGTCCTTACTCCAAACATCGGATCTCTACAGTTGTACATTTGTTTGATGAAAGTGTTGAGGCGCGGACTACGAGGATAAGAGACGCCCGGAGGGAGGAACTGGGTATAGAAATACCGGAATAAATGTGGGACAAAAATTCATTCCTGCTCTGTTAACGGCTGACATTAATGAATACAATTTAAAGTTGTCCATCGGCTCCATTACTCCAAGGTTGGACTACACAAAATTTGTTCTTCGACTTCCCCCGTATGTGACAGATCGCACATTGGCTCATGCTTTTTGGCATTGTCCCTCATTGACTAATTCCAGAATATTTGATTGGTACTCTAAAGCTTATGAAATCTTCATCACACCCAATCCAGAAATTGCAGTTTTTAGCTGCGTATGTTCCAGAACTATTCCTGCAACTATGCAGGTGTCAGTCGATGATGATGGTTGCAAAAAGACGTATCCTAAAGGAATGAAAGTCTGCTGTTCCTCCCTCCTTCACTGTCTGGCTCAATGACATGCTATCAGTCATAAAATGGAAAATATTCTATACCTACAAACTTCTGCAGCAAATGTTTTCTCAAAATCCTGGACTCCATTTTTGAATTAGCTTGGGAAAGCTCCGATTGTATGAACATGTACCATGTTTGTTACGTATTCATGATATTTGAGGTACTCTGGATACTGGTAGTTCTTATCATCACAGTGATATTTCTAGCACCTGAGCTGTATTTGTTTGTTGATGGGGTTTTCTATATTGAAAAATTAAAATAAAATATTGCAAACAATCGTAAAACAACAACAACAAAAAAATGTATTAAAAAATGTGAAACCTGCTTTGAATGTAACACGGGCTAAGATTCAATAAAACAGTCAATAAATCCATGCTTTATGATTGTAGGTATGAATGAATGTCGCCCCCTTGTGGCGTAAGTGAACTACACACGTGAACTTGTCGAGACTGAGTTAAGATGTTGAATGAATGATGCTGAATGTCCTTTATGAGTTGAAATCACCTTCATCGATGTTTGATCTCCAAAATGTGAACAGTCATCAATAAATCACGAGCAGGACTTTGTTCTCTTTTTCTAAATACCTTCATTGAATAAAATTCTAAAGGCAATGTTTGGCTCTTAGAGTGTGAAACCTTTGCATCCTGATCCCAAGACACGTGTGTGAATCCTGGAGGAGGAGAAGCACATAAGAGCTCCGATGCTGTCATCTGCTCGTCAGTAATAAAAGTCTGTTAAACCTGTGCAAACACGCCGTCTTGTTTTTCCCCAGAAGCATGTGAGTGTTGACTTGTGTGTTTGTCACAGACAAACAGGCTGTGAAAGGGGGCGCTCTTCTGCTCAGTTCCTGCTCTGTGTTTTTATCTCATTTAAAAGCGTATCTGGGCCCTGTATTTAGCTTCTGTCTCAAGTTCAAGCTCTCGCCTTTTGCAGCATATTTACCTTCATGATTTGCTCCTTTAAAAGTCTGCGTTCCTGTGATTGGCCAACTTGTGGAAGCCAGCCAAGGGGCAGTTGTTATGAGCAGCACTACTTGTACACAGAGGGTGCCCCCAAACTAAAGGGTCATCAGCTGTTTGTCGCTGAAACAGCCTGTGGAGTCTCACTTCGAGGTTTTTCCGCTGGGATCCTGAACCTTTCATTGTCTGGGACCAGAAATTTGGGTTAATACTTTCACAGTGTGAGACACATCTTTGGGAATGAATACACAGCCACGGTGTCAGTGGCTTTGTATTCAGATGTTGAGATGTTGTGAAACATCAAAATCTCCCACGAGTGTCTGCAGCGCCGTGTTGAATCCGAGCTAAGAACTGTGGGGGCTGTTTAAAGTGTGTAACTAATAAAGTGGCATGTGAATGTGTGATAAAAACGATAGGTCTCCTTAAAAGGAGGCAGGGAAGGTTGTTGCAAAGCTGCTTTTTCATGTTGATTATGGGAAATGTTGTGGTTTCCTTGTGCTGCCTTCAGGTGTTGTTGGAATTATGCCGAAATTTCCCTTCATATCCAGCAGATCCGCACACATGAAAAGCATGTTCGTGATTTAAAAGTTATAATTTAATTATTTAAAACAACAACAACAACAACAACACCTGAAAGTGTCTTTTTAAAAGTTACACACAGTGATTAAAGACTGAATCTTCTGAAATCATTCCTTCTAATGTTTTTCAAAAAGGTCAGAAAGAAAATCCAAAGAAACAGCTCAGTTTATTTATGTTACTGTATTTGAAGCAATATTTCATCGTTTAATTAAATTGGACTGGAACTTTATCACATTATGGTCTTTCCGACAAGTGTTTGGTAAATCAGAATTCCGAGTTTACAGTTTGCTCCTGAAGGCAGCCTAACTTGATCCTGAACAGAAGCAACAGCAGCTGTTGTTCAGGTCAGAGAACTTCCGCGTGTCCACCTGATTGCAGGTAATCCTCAGCGTGGTCAGGTAATCCTCAGCGTGGTCAGGTAATCCTCAGCGTGGTCAGGTAATCCGTGCGTGTTTGCAGATGTTTCAGAGAGCAGCTCAGCCTCGAGATGATTGTTAGTCGATGTTTTTGATCTAATGCGCAGATATATTTCCGGTTAGTTTATCGAGATTTGTTCGCGCGATTCTTATCTTAAAAAAATAAATAAAAATAAAACAAAGAAAAACGTTGAAAAGCTCTCGCGCAGAGATAACTGCGATTTCAAAAGTCTGACATTTAGCGTCGAACTGAAAAACAAACAGCCGTTTTATTTTCCGGTAACCGCACTTCCTTATCACGCAGTGGGAAACTCCGAACCAGAATCCGCGTTAAATTCGGGGACTTTTGTTTAACAAAAGATTTTATAGCAACGTTTGGAAGTTTGATGAGTGACCAGTGGATACATGTTATCATCTTAAAATGTCAAACAAAGAGGAAGAAGCGCGCTGAACAGCAGCCATGAGCTCATATTTCATTTGATTATTAGTTTGCTATCATTCCCGTGTTGATACTGGTGATAATGTAAGACGCGCGTCCTTACACGTGTTGTCTTTGCTCTTCAGCTCCTCAGTCGCCCTTCAGCTGCTTCAGCTGAATCATTAAAGCGAGACTTCCAGTCAATCAATTAAAACAGGTTATTAATGATTTCAAAACCTCATTAGGTTTTCGTAAATACCTCTTTTCACCGACATCAACTTTAAAGCAGGAAGTTAACTTTCTCTGTGTTTGTTATCGATATTTGATACCAACATCATAAACCTGAAAACTGTGTTTTTGGTGGCCCCCATTTGGCCACCCCTGAATGTGGAGGCGCTCCTGAATGTGGAGCTCTTTTAGATTCTTAAAATGTCATAAAGGCAAAAATCAGAGAATTATTGCTAAACCAGAATCATTTTCTCCTGTAAGTCTGTCTGAAGAACATCTGGAAGCTAAAGTCGATCAGCTGCTGCAAATTCCCTTCTCCTCCCTAATACTCAAACATTATTGGCCCCTCCCTCATTGTTTGCACTTGTGGTTTTTCCAGAATTTTCCCTCTGAGCTTCTGTGACCTCTGACCTTTATCATGGCATCCACATCTATCACCACCATCGGGGGAGTGATGGTCGTGACTCAGGTCATTCCCAAGGATGACGGCTCCATCCAGCTCCAGAATGCCAGCAGCTCCACTGCACCGGCCCCTCCCCCTGTGAAAAAGACCACACCCATCCCAGTCAAGATGGACGACATAACCGTCGCCTTCATGCGTGGACAGCCGCACGCTCTCGGGGTGAGCGTCTGGACTCTGACCATCATATTCATCGCAACAAAGCACAGACACGAACACGTTTTCACAGTCAGAGCGACTTACACGTCATGATGATGTCATCACCTCTGACCAACCAGAATAAACTTTCCTGACAGTCTCCATGTTTTTAGCTGTTCTTCAGTTTCAGAGTAATAGGAGGCTCACCAAGTCATGTGATCAGAATGGCTTATGGTAAATCTACGTCA